GTAGATAGTTGTATGTCATAGTTGCACATCCTTCTAGTTGCTGTATGTGGGACGCACCCTCAGCATGGCCGGAGAAGTGGTGCATCGGTGCGCGCCCGGGATCCGAACCCGGGCCACCAATAGCAGAGCGTGCGCACTTAACTGCTAAGCCACGGAGCCGGCCCCATCCTACCATCTTTTCATCATCCCTCACCACACCTTATCTACTCACTTCCATCCTATGCCAGCTTAATTTCAAGATCAATCATCAAAATCATTCCCACACGCACACTCAATTCCCTTGATTCCCTCTCTCATTTCACCTTAGCCACTTGGCTAAATCATAACCTTGGTTAAATCCAATGTTCTTGCCTGTTCCATGGCTTACCTGTGCAGCTGATGGGGCTAGTCTTTAAATTTATAACAGTAACCCTTAGCACTGCCCAGCAACTATACATCATTATTCCGGAAAAATTCTCTCTCCTACTCTTCTAGAAGACTATTTCATACCTTCCCCTCTCTCCTCAAACATCTCACAATAGCTTTTCCCTCATAGCTACTGCCCATGCTTCTGTTCTCTCAATAAAAAAGGAATCAGGAGAGATTTTTCCGGAAGCTCCCAATTACCAACACCTTCTCCTGTCACCACAGATGAACTGTCCGTGTACCTATCAAGACCAACCTCTAGAATGCCCCATTAAAGAGCAGAGACCTTTGTTTTGCTCCATGAAATATTTCAGGCTCCCAAAATGGTGCCTGGCAGAGAGTAAGTGCGGAATATTAATTGAATGAACAAACAAACATATACTTCCACTAGTATGCTATATTCTATCTCTTTTCCACTCCTCAAGGACATCCCCCAGCCAATTATTCTGTCTCTTTGCAGTTTCACAAATTTTTCCCTTTGTACTCTATCTTTCCCAGACAGCTTACAAATATACTGTAACACCTCCCATCTTAAAAAATGTGCCCCTTCCCCTTATTCCTCTCCACCCACTGCCTCATTGCTTTCTTTCCCCTTGCAGCAACTCTCAAAAGAATTATCTGTACTTGCTGCCTCCAATTCCTGTCATCCTATTCTCTCATTTCCATTCAAATCAGGTCTTTACTTCCACCACTAAACAGAAATTGTTCAAATTCACTAACGATCTCCACATGGTTAAATCTACAAAACTCATTACTTGACCCATCAGCTGCAAATCACACAGCCAGTCACTCCCTCTGTAAAATGCTTCCCTTGCCTTCCAAGACACCACATTCACCTAATTTTTACCTACCTCACTAGCAGCTCCTTTTCAGTCTCCTTTACTGATTTCTCATCTTCCCAAACTTTTATCATTAAAGGACCCCAGGATTCAGTCCTCAAATTTCTTCCCTTCACTATCTAAACTCCTAGGAAATCTTATCCAATTTCACAGCTTTAAATACCATCTATATCTCAAATTCATTATCTCCAGTCTGGACCGCTCCCTTGCTTATTTACCTAGCTGCCAACTCAGTATTTCTACTTCCATATCTAATAGACATCTAAGTACCACGTTGAGATGAGCTCTGATCTCTCCTGCCTTGACCTGCTCCTCTTGAAGCCTGTCGTACCTCACTAACAGCAACTCCCTCCCTCTGGTGGCTCAAGAACCACGGAAGTCATCCTTGACTCTTCCATCTCAATACACACATCCAGCTTCATCAGTAAATCCTACTGACTACTTTCAAAATAGATCCATAATCTGTCCACTTCTGACCACCTCCAGTACTGATCCAAATACCATCATTTCTCATGATTATTACAATCGCTTTCTAAAGGTCCCCAAATTCCATCCTTACCCCCAACCCCCTCTATTCTAAACACAGGAGCAAGAGGGATACTGATAAATTGTAAGTCATTCATCTTACTACTCTGCCCTATATCCCCTACGCCCATTACACTCAGGGTAAAAACCAGTCCCTACAAGGGCTGACCTACTCTTTTCACGACTTCTCTGACTTCATCAGCAACTACTTTTCCCCTCCCCACTACATTCTAACCACACAGCTATGCTCCTGCCTCTGGCCTCTACACGTTTTCTCTACACATAATGCTCTTCTCCAGATTTCTGCACAGCTCCCTCCCTTACTGCCTTTAACGTTTACTCAAATGTCAACCTTATCACTGAGGCCTCCCCAACCACTCTATTTTAAATTGTAACTCTTCCCTGTGCAGTTCTTATCCCCTGCCTGGTTTTTTCCTCCACAGAATTTACACCTTTTAACACACTACATAATATACCTATCTATTTTGTTCATTGCCTACTCCACACCCTCCCCTCCAACTAAAATAAAAGTTCCCTAAGACAGAGACTTTTGTCTCTCATTCACTGCCATATCCCCAACACCAAAAGCAGACTAGCAAAGAGGTGACACTTAATAAACATCTGCTGAATGAACTAATGAAATATTAAGGCTCACCAGACAGTTGACAAAAGCCTGATGTATGAAAGCAAAAAACCAAGTCACACAAAAAACTGACTCCAGAAAAAAACAGAGACAAATTAGGGAATAGAAAGAAATTAAAAAAAAAAAAACTATCATCAAACCTTCAGAAAAACTCAAGAACAGAATGCATCAAAAACATTAAAGACTCTGGAACTTAAAAATATTACTGCTGGAAAAAAATCAATACAAAGATCAGAAGATAAAGAAAAGGAAATCTCCAGGAACACAGAAAAAAAGACAAAAAGATTAAAAACAATACACGGGGAAAAAGACAAAGTTTTAAGCCAGTAGGGCCAACATTTGACTAACAGCAATTCCAGGGAGAAAAAAAAGGAAAATAAAGTGAGAAATTTCAAATAACTATTACATGAAATGTTATCAGAGCTTAAAAGATAATCTGAAGGCCTTCACACCAAAAGAGTCCATTTCAATTAAAAACATACCTAGTGGAAGTGAGTCATAAAGTTTAACATACAGAAAACTGAAATTATTTATGTAGAGAGGTAAACTGGACTGACACACCCATTTGATTTTTGGAGACATTTATGCACTGACTTTAAGTAAGAGGCACAAATATTTTCTTTCCAGATCAGTAATGAAAATAAAAAAAACTGAATACCATAGTCCTAACACTATGACCTCCTAAATTATGTTTAGCGATGGTTTTATATAAATATTTTCAGAAAAAAATATTGTACATAAGAGGTTCTCAATAAATTTTAAAAATTGATTCTATATTAAACTTTTTAAAGCAAAAAGACTTTCATTTCCATAAAAAATAATATATATAATTTTAAAAATGAAAACAGCATTTGTAGTACGGTGCTTACCAAGAGTAATGTTTATTAGTTACTGTTGAAAAACCTACTTATACAAGGATTTTCTGAAAATGAGAGATTAAAAAAATAAAAACACCCATAAAGACTGATTACAGCTATTTGGCCTACCTTACTCAGAGGGGCTTTGATTTTTTTCAAACACAAAGCAAGAAGCTCCCTGGATTCTAACGCACACTGTATCCAAGCTCCTGGCGGCTGGAAATATCTGAAAGAGAAGATAATATATTGAAATCCAGCATCTCTCAGGAAACACAAAAATTTCCATTTGAATATGCAGATATAACACTGATTATTAACCAGATATAATAATACCCAAGATTGATCCGAAGCATTTAACCCAAACAAATTTTAACAGTTCCAGAAAACTTTCAATTACACTAGTAGCTTTAGTTAAAATGGTAAAATTCTGAGTATTTGAGAAAGCCAATCTGAAATAACCTATTAAAGAGGTCTTATTACTTCAAGCACCAGTAAGAATTCCAGAAAGGATGACAAAGTGCCAAAGAGTTCCCCGAAGCTATGCTCTGAAAAACAAGTAGAAATCATCTCAAAATAGCATTAAAACGATTTATAATGTACATCTAAAATGCTTGAGAACTGCTTATTTCTCACACACAAAAAAAGGAAATTAGTATCTCATACTATGTACCAACGATGGCTCAGACTATTCATCTATTTCAAGCCCTTTCCAAATTTTAAATTGTAAAAATCAAGTTTTAAAATCATAAAGCCTGACTAAATTAAAACTTAAATCCCTTATACACGTGCTTTAAGTTTTTAGCACAGGACCTAGGGCAGTGCCTAACACATGGTAAGTGCTCAATGTTTGTTAAATATGTAATACTTCTAAATGTGTCATGTCAATGATTTTTTTTTTGCCATACTTGTTAAATGAATGTTCTGATTTTCACTTTTAAAGGTTCATTCAAAAACTTTATACAGGTCCCTTTGTTATACGTATGTTTTTGGCATTAGAAAGAGCTTCATATATCATCTAATAATCCCCCTTCACTCTGATAAGGAAATTAAGACTTTGGTTAACTGGCCAAGAGTTTCAAAAAGCTAGCTTGCAAGAAATCCAAGACAAATTAGGTCTCCTGATTCTCTTTTTTTTTGGTGAGGAAGACTGGCCTTGAGCTAACATCTGTCACAAATCTTCCTCTTTTACTGAGAAAGATCAGCCCTGAGCTAATATCTGTGCTCATCTCCCTCTATTTTGCATGTGGGACGCCACCACAGCATAGCTTGTTGAGCAGTGCATTGGTCCGTGCCCAGGATTCGAACTTGCCAACCCTGGGCCGCTGGAGCAGAGCGCACTGATTCTTTGTCCAGTGCTTTTTTCACTCCACCATGCTTTTGAGATTAGCAAATATTTATAAACGATTAAGCCTCACACTTGCCAAGTTTGCAAACTGTAAATAAACTACCTAAAACAGTACACTAAAGTTTCATGTGTTTATATGTAAGTACATGTTTTAAGCATTTTTCCGGAGAGTTTTCAAATTCTCAAAGGGATTCATGAACCCCGCCCCCCCCCCAGAAAAGTTAAGAACCACTGGAGTCCTAACCCATTTGTGAAATCACACGTATATAATTTTATATGGGCAGTTTCATTGAGCAGTTTTGTGTTAATGGCCTACCAGATATAAGCTGTTTATGCCAACTAAAGAAAATAAAGGAATAAAACACCAACTTTCAGAAGTCTTCTGTCTTCAAATCCATTATTTCAGACCATCCCAGATATGATTTACTGAGTTTTTTTTCCATCAACTATAGTCATTTTAGTTACATGGGAACATTAATAGACATAATTTTTAAAACACACTGCTAAATTACTTAAAACATAAGGTGCTTTTGATCATAGATGGCTTCTACAGATTAAAGGCAAAAAAAAAACCCTCATAGCAATAACATAATCTGCTCTCACTTACCCTTACAAACGTCAACTCATATCTATTAACTGTACACATCAAACCTATTAATCCCTTAACAGAAAAAGACGGATTCAAATACCTTTATAGTATCTTTACCAGATTAGCAGGGCAAACTAGAAAAGTACACTACAAAACTTCAAATTCTAAAATCTTTGGTGACACCAACATAAATAAAGATTAAATCTCAATTATATGCACTTTTTGCTAGATATCTTGGTGTAATCTCAGCACATCCTAGTGGTTCTCCTATATATAAATCTCAACTTTAAGTAGGATGAAACAGTACCACACCGTACCTTTGGCATTGTTTGCAGAAAGATATCGACACTTGTTTTGGAATGCCTTGGCTGATGTCTACTTTACTTCGCAAACAGGCCACACAAATATTGGCAGGATTTGGACTAATTGGGACACCACACTCGCAGCACAAGCTTAAATAAATAAAGCATACATTTCTCAAATTAGATGTCATAAATGCACTGGTTAAATTTCAAAACTATCAAACAAACGCCTTCAAGTTAGGCCACAGTATCTCCGCCCTTTTTTAAAAACTGACAGAGCAATCATCAAAGATGCAATAAAGAACAAGCTTGGAAAACTGAGGGAAAAAAACGAGCATGGCCACAATTGGAAAAAATCCTCAAAACGCAGCCAATGTGCAAAGGGTCTAAAGAGTCTAAATTATTTCTAATAGTAATCACTAGACAGCTTTATAGTCTAAAGGCAATACTTTTTAAGCCTCAGTATCACACAGGGACTTCCAAAATGTAAGCGTTTACCTAAAGAAAACTTTTTAGATGGAAAGAGTATCATGTCTAGGGATTCAGTGTAACTGACGGGAGGGTCATAACCCCAGGTGCATCGGGGGCAGAAAATGTTTAAGCATCACTGACGTTGTCCAAAAGAAATGCCCTATCATGTGTGATGTCCAGTGTGGCAGCCACCAGGCACCTGTGGCCACTGAGGCCTTCAAATGTGGCCAGCACTACTGAGGAACTGAGTATTTAATCTTCTTTCACGTTAATTACTTTCAATTTCAACAGCCACGTGAGGCTAATGGCTATCGCAGTGGACTGTGCCAACCCAGAAGAACGTAAGTGAATACGTGAACACACTTACAGCAAGTATTTACAACGAACTTGCCAACTAAACGATTTTCGCAGCAAATATGGCTTTTCATGTTTCCCATTTAAGACAAACTAAATCCCCCCCTCAGAAAAAAAGCTTTCCCCACAGTAAGTTTCAAAGACTCCGTTTACCATCCCGAAATGCGGGGGGGGCGACTCACATGTGTCCGGGGCTGCGGTCGGCGGGTTCCGGCATATACTCCATTTCCCTGGATACCCTGATTTTAAAGAAGAAAGAGAACCGTGGGATTTAGGTCGTTTGTCTATTCACCTCTTTACACAAACCCTCCTCCCGCCTCTCTGAGTCAGGCAGCCAAGCCTCACAAACGAGCGAATAAGAAAAACCTATCCCACGCGGTAACTCTGGAGGAAGTAACTGCTTTAACACCAGAACCCAGAGAATCCCGGCGTCCGCCACCGGCAAGGCCCTCGGGCCACTAAGCTCGGCCGCTGACCGCAGGCGTCACCGGGGCACCAAGACCGCGGGCCCGAGGAGGGCTCCGGGAGGGCCGGGGCCGCCGGGCAC